CGCAAAGAAAAGAAAAAAGTCCTCCATGGGGCAGCGGAGTTGGATGTGGAACTGATAGGTCGCTAGTTTTTTGTGTGTGAAGTGACATTGTCGCTGTTGGTACATATTGTTTGTGTTGTATGCACTTGGATCCACGGCAGCGTGCCTGGTCGTGCCCAGGCATTAGGGGAGCTGTCGTCGTCGGTCATCCTGCCGGCGAAAGACCAGGACTTTGATCCGACTGTTTTTAAAAGCGAAGACATACATTTTACCTTTTCTCATTAATTAAAGATTAACAGGTTCTTTTAACACAGTACAGACGCAAGCACACACGCACACCCTATCCCTATGAGCACCTTCGACAGACTGAGCCGGCATATCATCTTGAGATTTATGAGGTCACCATAATCAGTTCGTCGTCGACGGAAACGTCTCCTTCCACTGAAATTGCATCGCCGAAAATTCTTAAATAAATCTAGGAATAATGCGAGCACCAGGACTTGAACCCTGGTGGTCTGGGGATACCACTATCACTGTAACCATCCAGCAAGCCTACCTGCGCCAGCCTGGTGCCAGATCGAGGAGGAAGAGATGCCCGCCGTCGCCGATGCCATCAGATTTTGCCCGGCGACGGGGAGGGAGTCGCCAGCGGCTAGGGTTGCTCCTCTCGGTCGCCCGCCAGCGGGGGCGACGCGAGAGGAGAGGAGGGGAAAGTTTGGATGTCATTTTCTTGCTCACTAGTGTCCAGGGATGTAAGTGGACGCGTCCGCATACATGTTTTTACTATTAGCTTGATTTTTAAAGCAACATTGATTACTACTCCTCGAAGGTTCCGTATGACCTTTGACTCAAAACATTACCCAAAGGCTAGGTGCCATATAGTATAAATGAAGTTGATGCCGGCCATGAGATCACAACAACGCCCCCACAAACAGGCTCCCACACAGCCCTGGTGAGCTCTTTTCAGCCTTAGCCATGGAGCCATCATCCCCCGTTAAACTCATCCCACTCACCATATTGCTAGCCTCATTTCTTGCAGCCATCGCCATGCCATCGCTTGACGAGCAAGCAGCAGCGCTCGTGGCCTGGAAAGCCACCCTCCCCAACAAACAAGCCTTGCCATCCTGGGGAAACAAGACCGCATCATGGCCCTGCAACTGGCGCGGCATCCGCTGCGGCAGACAAGCAGGGCAGCGGGTGATCACCCGGATGTCTCTGCCGGGGATGATGCTGGGCGGGACGCTTGAGCTCCTCAACTTCTCTGCCGTGGTGACACTGGCAAGGCTTGAGCTCCCACACAACGAGCTTGCTGGGAGGCTTCCTCTGGATATTCAGCTCCTCAAAGAGCTCCATGTTCTGCTTCTCCACGGCAACCAGATAAGGGGCTCGATTCCACCCGTCCTTGCAAACCTAACCAAACTGTCTTGTTTGGTGCTAAGCCACAATCTCCTTACCAATCAAATACCAGATGTGATAGGTGAATTAGAGAGTCTAGTGGTCCTCAACCTGTCGAGCAATCACTTGGTGGGTCCTATCCCTGATGGAATAGGACGACTAAGCAACTTGATTGGTTTGGATCTTTCCAACAACATCCTCGATGGTCAAATTCCCATCAGTCTAGGTAATCTATCTGTGCACAATAACATAAAGTTTTTAGCACTCCCCGGAAATAATTTAACTGGTCCCATCACCAAAGAGTTTGGAAACTTAGTCAGCCTAGACTACCTAGATCTTAGTCAAAACCGTTTTGTAGGTTGCATTCCAACAAACATCAATAATTTTACAAAGCTTGCCACACTGGAACTTTCAGAAAATTTCTTCTCAGGAAATATACCTAATCAAATTGGGGACTTGGTCAAGCTGAAGTCATTAAAACTTCATTCTAATGAACTCTTTGGCTATATTCCGAGCAATTTGGAGAATCTGACAACAATCACTGCCTTATACCTACAGAATAATCACCTTTCCGGCCACATTCCTCAAAGTTTAGGAGACTTGATACGCCTAGAAGAACTACGGCTTGGCATAAACGAACTTAGATATTCAATTCCAAAAAGCATTGGAAATTTGACTAAACTGCATACTTTGACTCTGTGGCGAAATCAACTCTCTGGGGAGATTCCGCAAGCATTTGAAAACCTTGGAAACATGAAACAGTTGGAGCTCCAAGATAACAATTTCACGGGTTCAGTTCCAAACAGCTTATGGAATTTGACAAAAATCACTACCTTATACCTTCACAATAACCAACTTTCTGGCCCCATTTCTCAAGATCTAGGTTCATTGGTGAACTTAAAAAACTTGACACTTAGCCACAACAGACTAACAGGTCATATCCCATACAGCTTAGGCAATTTGACTAAACTTCGTAATATAAACCTCAGCCATAATCAACTTTCTGGACCCATTCCTCAATATATTGGCAACTTAATTGGGCTTACTAGGTTCCAACTAAGTAATAACAATCTCTCTGGTGCCTTACCACCGGGTCTTTGTGTGGGAGGCCGGCTACAAAAGTTCACTGCCAGTGACAACAACTTGGTTGGACCCCTTCCAACAAGCTTTATAAATTGCAGAAGCCTAGTCAGAGTTCGTCTTGAACGGAATCAGCTAAGTGGAGATATTTCTGAGATGGGAGCTCATCCAAATCTTGTCTATATCGATATCAGTTTGAATAAACTGTTTGGTAAATTATCTCAGCGTTGGGGGGAGTGCTACAAACTTACCATGTTACGTGCCTCAAATAATAATATTACAGGAGTCATACCAGCAAGCATTGGACAATTATCTCAGCTAAGGATAATTGATCTTTCATCAAATAGAATCCAAGGGCAGATTCAACCAGAAATTGGTAATCTAACATCACTGTTCAACTTGACTCTGGGTAAAAACTTGCTCCACGGAAGTATACCACAAGAAATTGGATTATTGCGCAACTTGGAGTACTTGGATTTATCTTCAAACAGCCTAAGCGGACTGATAGGAGGGTCAATTGAGCATTGTTTGAAGCTTAGCTTTGTTAAGCTGAGCCATAACCATTTCAATGGCAGCATTCCTGATGAGCTGGGGGTGTTGGTAAACCTACAAGAATTGTTAGATCTAAGTGACAACTCATTTGTTGGCACCATTCCGACTCAATTCGGTGGTCTAAGAGTGCTCGAAAATTTGAATCTTTCACACAATGCATTGAGTGGTAGCATTCCACCATCATTTCAGAGTATGACCAGTCTATCATCCATGGATGTCTCCTACAACAACCTAGAAGGACCAGTGCCACAAAGCAGATTCTTTGAAGAAGCTCCATTTGTATGGTTCACGCATAATAAACAATTGTGTGGTTTAGTGAAATGGCTGCCCCCTTGTGACCATACTCCAATGGGTGGACACTACAAGAAGTCCAAACTTGTTTTTCTTGGTATGATACCCGCTATTATGTCTTTCCTGATTATCGCGGTATTGGTAACAATGCAATGCAAAAAGAAGAAACTCAAGGCAGAGGGCGGAAATAGGATACAACAGAACAAGTTGTTCACCATTTGGAACTTTGACGGAGGAAATGTCTACAAGCAAATTATTGATGCTACAGAAAATTTCAACGAAACTCACTGTATTGGAACTGGAGGGTATGGATCTGTCTATAGAGCTCAAATACCGACTGGCGAGATATTTGCAGTGAAGAAGGTTTGTATGATGGAAGGTGATGAGTCATTTAATCGTGAAATAGATGCTTTGATGCATATTCGTCACCGTAACATTGCCAAGCTGGTCGGATATTGTTCTGGTACTCATCACCGATTTCTTGTATATGAATACATGGATAGAGGGTGCTTAGCAACATCTTTAAAGAGCAAGGAAACTGCAATTGAATTAGACTGGACAAGAAGGTTAACTATTGCTAAGGATATGGCCCATGCTTTGTCTTACATGCATCATGATTGCTTTGCGCCAATTGTTCATAGAGATATAAAAAGTGCCAACATTTTGCTTGATCGGGGGTACAGAGCCTGCATATCTGATTTTGGTATAGCCAAAATACTAGGCGGTGATGTTTCAAATTGCACAAGGCTTGCTGGAACGAAAGGATATCTTGCGCCAGGTAAAAAATGTCGATATTTATATTCATGTTCCTTTCACTTGATTTTTCTACTGAACTGCACTATGTGATTTTCTCCTCGTAATAATAATCGACCTATGGCCCTTCAAAAAAAAGTCTATGTTAGTTAGATGCATGTGTTCCCATGCAAAATAAAAAATAAATCATGTGTTGCATACGTCTCATCTAAGATATATGTTTCTTACATTTAATGTACGATGTTGATCTTCTCAGTGACTATGGGAGTTTCAGCATTTATGCTGTTTAAACCAGATATACTTTAATTAGTACTCCCTCCGTCCAGAAATACTTGTCATCAAAATGAATAAAAGGGGATGTATCTAGATGTATTTTAGCTCTAGATACATCATTTTTTTGTCCATTTGATGACAAGTATTTTCGGACGGAGGGAGTATTTATCAATCACACTATGCATGTCAGTGGTCGTATCTACGGTCTACATTAACATTCATCAACATATAGGAAAGGGTAATCAAAATTAAATATTCCTTTATTATTGGCATTTGCAGAGCTTGCATATACGACAAGAGTGACGGAGAAGTGTGATGTTTATAGCTTTGGAGTGCTCATGCTTGAGTTGTTTATGGGACGTCATCCGGGCGATTTTCTTTCATCGTTGTCTTGGAAATGTATGACGCTCCAGGATTTGTTAGACACTCGGCTCCCAAGCCCTAAACCTGAGATTGCAAGTGAAATATTCAAAGTGATCACGGCTGCCGTGCAGTGCTTAGAACCTAATCCATCATGTCGTCCGACAATGCAACATGTTACACAACTATTCTGTAAAGTTGAAGGCCCAATTACTCTTGACCATCTACATGCTGAATTCATCGTCCCTGCTCAGTACCATGGATGTTCTTAGGTGCTGTTTTTATTTACAGACTGTATTATGAAGGGTAGGCCTAGCACAGTGGTAGTCTCTCCACTTGTGGCGTGGAGGCCCTAGGTTTGAATCAGCCCCCTTGCAGAATTATTATACAAGGGTAAGGTTGTACAGAAATTCCCTTCCCTAGACCCCACCTTGTGTGGAAGCTTTCAACACTGGATACGCCCTTTATTTACAGACTATATTGTATCACTTACTATTTTTTTTTAAAGGAGGACATCTCCCGACCTCTGCATCGGATATGATGGTTTCCTTTTGCTTTACCATTTCCAGGTGGTGAAATGCTTAAAGTTGCTCAAGCATAACTGGTTGGAACTGTGGGTTGTAAGCAATGCACATAACAGAAACTATTAACATAATTGGTCCAAATATTATAGCAAGCTTGACCAGACCATTTATCAGAGAAACTATTAACATAATTGATGCCTTTTATTTACAAAATGGTGGCAAGCTTGACCAGACCATTTATCAGATAAACTATTAACATAATTGATGCCTTTTTTTTACAAAATGGTGGCAAGCTTGACCAGACCATTTATCAGATAAACTATTAACATAACTGGATCCAAATATCATAACCACTTTGC